GGGGGGGGGGGGGGGGGGGGGGGGGGGGGGGGGGGGGGGGGGGGGGGGGGGGGGGGGGGGGAGGAAAATCTGGCCAAAACGGACTGGGACGAGGGTAAGGACAGGTCAAGGGAGGGCCAGCCGGGGCGGGGGGGGGGGTGGAGAATGTGCCCAAAAGCGCATGTCAGAATTTTTTGGGATGCAGGGAGGATTAAGTTGTGGGTCACTGAGTTTAACCCTCGGAACGCCGGAGGCCTGTGGCCTCGGCGGGTATGCTTCTTTTCCATGATGAACGTACGAAGCTTGTATGACCATGTAAAGCGGGAGCAAAGCCGATTTGCAAAGCTTCAAAGCACCAGAACCATGGCCGACACTCCTAGGTACATCGCCGACGTGTACATGTTTGCCGACAGCCTCATAGGACGATCTGCAAATACCCTGGCCCGGTCCTCTGGGACTCAGACAAGCCCGTACGTCCGGTTTAGGTTGGTGAACAGAAGGCTAACTTGAGCAAGTAAGCATCACAAGCCCGATCGCAAGACGCACCAAGCTCTAAAAACCCTCCATGCACAAACACAGGCCCCAGGACCGACCCTTCTATTGGGTTTATGGACTTGTATTTAGGGTACGGGGCTCAGCGGGTCTGAGTCTAAGGGGTTTGGGGTCTCGGGGCCAGTAAACAACACTCGAGGCCAAGAGCTTGCGAAACCACTGACCGGAACCCCGAACCTGAACCTGAGAACTTAACCGGGCTCGGGCGTCGAAGATGTAGAGCTATCGTGTCAGGGTCAAGTTGGGTTTGAGCTTAGGGTCTGCTTCTAGTGTGGAAGGCTATATGATTCTTTTCAGAGCTTCGTGTGTCGGGTTTATGGCGGACATTCCAGCACAAGCTTCTGCTGTCCCCTGGCGGCCAGGGAGGGCCTTCGTGCATCGGGTCTAGGGCACGTGCAATCCATGAGCCCCAACCCCCGAAGAACAAGCCCGAAGCTCGGTTGAGGTTCGCCTGTCCACGCACAAGTCGACGGGCACCCCGAGGGCGATCAAGCAGTCAGGGCCTTGCGAGTGCATGTCGGGGGTGTGGAATTTTGCAGTTTGCAATTACTTGGTTTCCCACGAGCAAACATGTTGTGGAGTTCTAAGTCGACGATGTGATATTACTCGCCGCAGCAGCCCTCCAGGCCTGTCCAAACCATCATCAAGCCCCAGGAACCCGATCCCGCGCAAAAGACCGAAGGCACCCCGAAACCGAAGAGGCAAAAAAAACCACGAATCTCCCTTAACCCTCTGAGCGAGGCCCTTGACCCCACGACGGAGTTTTCAACCACGAGACATTTTGAGATCTTTTGAGCATCGGTTCGAGATGCGAAGCGGTGATGGGCACTTTTGGAACTGGAGCAGAAATTTTGCCCAACGATTCTCCGCAAGCTTTCCAAGAAGCCATTCATGCCATGTTGGCATGTTGCATGCCTGCAACCCTCAGCCTGAGCTGAAACACATGAGCTCCAAATCCCAACGTAGCATCGACACTTTCAATCGAAGCCACCAGACCCAAAATCCTAAATACCAAAACCGTCAACTCGTGGCCAGGTACACCTTGAATGTCCCCGGCGTCAACTTAGACTCCCTAAAGCGGGAGGTGCTCTGGTTTTTGGGAGAAGCGGTATCCTCCGGTTTTTTTTTGGGGTTTAGGGTTTATGATGCTGTGGTTTAACATGTTCGGTCACAGAGAGTGAGGATTTAGGGATTCAAGATTTATGTGTGTGCCTGAAGACGGTTATGGTTTTGGGCTTCAGAGTCTCAGGTTCGGGTTTTCATGTCAGGGATGCACGAGAGGTTTAGAGTGCGACTGGCACAGGGTTACGCGGGGCTTAGATGCGGCTTGAACACCGTTTGCATAGGGTTGATCAAGTTTTACGTTTGTTTGTGCTGTTGGCTCAAGTTTTGCATTCCCGCAGCATTGTCAGTGACAGAGGGATTTGTTATAGACGGAGGGAAGCAGGAGGTCCAATTTTCGGTTCGGGGTTTTGCGGGCTTCCGCAGTGAAATCCTGTTTAAGCCTGAGGTATTCCTCATATAACCCTGCAGATAGGCACGACGGCCTACTTTCCATGTAATTGCTTCTCGAAGTCCACGATCCAAAAAACCTACTGCTATTTCTGTTGCTGTTGTCCTTGTAACCGTAGAAGGAGGAGTGGCAGGATTATGAGGAGCAGCAGCAGCAGCAGCAGCTCCTGCTGCTGCTGCTGCTGTTGGATGATATCCAGTAGGAATTGGAGGAGGCCACTGATAATTTCGCCAGAATAGCTCGGCAGTCGTGAACGTTCCACGAGCAGGTCATGCTCTTCAAAGATGTGCGGAATCACCCGAACATCATCAGGCCATGCCGCGTTGTCTGCGGCTTGATTGTGCGTGTCTTGAAACTTGAGCGCTAAGTCTGATCCTAACCCAGAGAGCCAAGGCCAGTCCAACGGGTCTCCACGTCCTAGGTGCAAAAAGATGCTCACTCGCAAAGTCCCAAAGCCCGTTGAACAATCAGTTCAGGGCATTGAGCACTTTCATTCGTGGGAAAAGTGTGTGGGTTTTGCCAGGATGCATGAGACCTTCAAGGACAAGCTGAACTTCTACGTTGTGTTCGAGTCCCGTACTTACTGAGAAATCAGGCCTTCTCCTCGGCGAGAGACCTATAGACTATTGTGGGCTTAACAGCTGCTGCCACTGGTACCGCTGCTCCTTGCCTGCTGATGTTAGTCCGTCTCTGCTTCTTCTCCTGCTGCCGCGGCTTCTACTCCTTCCCGTCTGCTGCTTCTATCTATCACTGGTCATGCTGTTGGCCCCTACGACGACGACGACTACTACTGCTGTTGCTGCTGCTACAACAACAACAAC